GTCTGGTGCTTGAGTACTCAGCCCCTCCCCCTGTCGCGCAAGTAGGTCGGGTAGCCCCACACAAAAAACCACCCCACGCACGTTGTTGGGAGGGGGGGAATTCTGGGAGTTGAAGTCCACACGTCTTAATGTTGCCAAGGTTGAGAAACACTGTGTTGGAGATTTCATGGATAGCTTGGCATCATCTTTTAGGGTCCCCCCCCATCCTCCCAGTCTAGTGTGCACCCCGGTGGTTTCCCATCCAAACCTTAAACTGAGCTGACCCTGGTTAGCTTTCTCGAGATCAGCCAAGGTTAGCCAGGTGGACCCACAGGGGTCTCGCTCAATGTATTGCGCAATGGCTTATTTCCAGTTTTGTTCTGTTCTTTCCTCGTTTAATAACACTTGAGGAAGTAAGTACATTTGCTTGGTTATTTGTAATCTAGGCATTTTTAAAAAAATTTTGAACATTTTTTTTGTTTTCCTAAATGCAGAGAAGTAAAACTTTTCAAATATGGAAAACTGCTTTAGCAATCAGATGCCGGCATTTTGCTGACTTTGCAGAGACGTTTCCTCTCGGTGACCTCCGCGGCAACTTGGACTTCACATTGACAAAATCTTTGTTTCCCCCGCCCGCCCTCCAGCCAAAGATGGCAAACTTTATTCCAGAAAATCTAAAATTTTACACAAATGTTCAAAAAGGCAGCTGTAATGGGAAGCAAGAGTACTTTTCAATCATTGCTTTTTCAGGAAAATAGCAATCTGGTGGGTGGGGAAACCAGCGAGAAAGAGTTGATGTGGGGCTTATTTTAAGTCAAAATCCTTGCGGCATCTTTGAAACCTGCACTAGGCATGGGAGTCCAAAGGCGTCTGCTGGAGGACGGGTCAAAAAACCCAAGATGATATCCAGGGTTGTACAACACTCATTTTAAAAAGGGGAAGGATTTTGTTTGCATGGCGGCAACCATCACCTTGACTTTTTTGACCTCCCTAGACATGCCTGCCCCCCAAATGTTCCTCTGCAAGTTTCTTGGAAGATTCCATTCAGTGGCAGTACTTGTAGAAATTAGGTTCCTCCTTCCACTTCTCTGAGAAAAGACCTACGTTCCTTCTTTCTTTCTTACCCCTCTGAAGTTTGCAAATGTATGTTTCATCTTATTCATTCGTGACTACCTAAGGGGGTTTCTTTTTCTCTTTCTCGTTTTCTTTTGGTCTGGAAGCAATATTGCTCAGCCTCAGGAATTTTTAGATGTGTGGACTTCAACTCCATGCTGGCTGGGGAATTCTGGGAGTTGAAGTCCACACAGGCTGGCTGGGGAACTCTGGGAGTTGAAGTCCACCCATCTTTAAGTTGCCAAGTGGATGCTTCAGTGTGTTGAGCCAACTGAGGCAGGGGGTTAATTCAACACTTAGGTTAAGGATGTTGTGTGAACTTGGTGACGTGTCTTAGAAGTCCAGGGGCCAGACTCAAGGCTTTTCAGGGCCAGATTCATCTTAGGTCCTCAGATTCTGCATTTCTGCTGGATGATTTAATCGTGCTGTGTTAAGGCAGCCTGTATGTATACTTGTCATAATACAAGGACAAGATGGGGACAAAGGACATCTACACTTCCCTTGGCTTCCCCAAAGGTAGGGGAATGGGGACAGCCCTACATTTCTACCACCATTGACCTGAATGCCCTCCATTCCTTTTTGCTTAAGGCCATCAGTTTGGAGCTGCAAGAAACCCAATGACCACAACGTGAGAGCAAAGAGACAGGGGAAAAAAATTTAAATTCTATCTCTCTCTCTATTCATTTATACTTCGCATTTGTCATTGCCCACCTCCCTACAAGTAACTCTGGGTGATTTACAGTCAAAGAATAAATATTCATTAAAACACAATAAAACCATAGTCCTACAAATAATAAATGTCTTCCAAGATCAATGGTGAAAGGATTAGGCTCGGGGAGCATCCTCACGGCGCCAACCACCCCCAGGGCTGGTTACATCTCTTCTCGCCCCACGCCAGACGGCAGAGCCTGGTCTTCAGTTCTCTCTCTCTCTCTGGTCATAGGAGTGGAAAACCCCTTGACGGCACATAATGAATCAATTCTCTGGGGCCATCTAGTGGTCAGCCCCTTGGCTGCAGCCCCCCCACTGGCAGCTGTAACCTTGTTCTGCTTGGT